ATATATATATTAAATGACCTGTATATATAAAATATATTAAAGAGAAAAGATAGATATAGGTTGTATGAGTGGACCCAAAAAAAGACACCTAACTCACACGGTACAACACACAAAAAAGTCAAAAAAGGTACATATAAAAATTAAAAAAACCCAAAACCACTAGGGCACGAAAAAAGTGAGTCATCCTAATTTAGTCCTGTCTGTTCTTCTAGCTCTAGGAAGAGATCCAATGGTAAGGTGCGTATCATTACCTGAAGTAACCAAATTATCATCCATAAAATTCTTGAGCTCAAGTATATCTCCATTCTTCTTCTGCCTGGAAGTGTAAATCTGTCATTCCTCTTCCGAAGTTTCAGTCTAATGAGGTGGTAGAGCTGTAGCAGAAAGAATACCAACTGTAGTACCCACAATAGATTCTAGTATATGTGAAGTATGAGTTGCCTCTACATGGGATACTTCCTGAAGATGGGGAGCTGCGAGGTTTTTTCTGATTATCAGTTTAAACGCTATCCTTTGTAGGTAATAGTCATTCAATATTGTTTTTTATGGGGTTTGAAGGTGCCAACATCACATCAATCACACTAACAGTAATAGCAGTGTCAGGAGGGGGTCCACAGGGGCAACAAACACCTCCTGTCTGGTTGTATCCTCCCCAGGTGGAACTAAAATGTCCAGAGCAGTGGGGTTAGCCCCATTTTTATTCACTTGAACCTTAGATTTCAAATTAGGATGGAGATTGTGGCATTTATCAAAGGGCATGCCCAAACATCTTACAGTGGGTACAGTATGGAGGTCTGTGTTACATGATTATTTGTTGTCAATATCCATTATGAGTTGTGCCCAACCAGACTTTAGTAACATCAGGTAAAGTATATCCCTTTTCATAAGTATTCTGGTCACAAAAGGTCTGGTTGGATTGAAAGTGGGTAGATCTAGCTTCATAGGGTCCTCAAGGATGGTCCCAATAGAGTAGAGAACCTGATGATGAAAAAAGTGTTTTTTGAGACCAGGTAGATTAAACCATATCGATACAGTGAGGGGTTCATAATTTGAGTGGAAATCAGGAGACCACTTGAGTAACTTCATTGATTTGCCTGCGATATTAAGATATTTCTTGGAGAAAATCCGGGTGTAGTCTTCAGTCACAGTTAGTTGAATCAACACATGTCTCCCATCTATGAGTATCACTTTCCAATTGCCTACTAGTTTAAGATCATCAACACTCTTTCTGATAACTTCCATAGGTGGGTGCCCCCACTGAAATTTTTCAATAAGAGCAAACTTGAATTTCTTCTTCAGGGTTGAAATTTCCAAGTCAGAGAGAAAGATTATTGTTTTCCGACATTTTCTACTTCCCTTCTTAATAAAAGAGCAATAACTTGTATCATCGCGATAATCCTTATGGCTTGAGGGGAAGACAACCGTGGACTCCACCTGAAGGTTACCCACCACGTGGGCAAATGAGACTTTGCCCGGTTCAACCAAAGAAGAAGCGAGCGCCATCAGAGCAGGGAGATTTGTCGGCGTTCACCTACTGCGAGGTCCCCGACACGCAGACAAAGCTGGAGAATCTGTCGGGCAGGGCGCAACATCGAACAGAAAACGAGCTGCTCAAATGTGGAATCTACGCAGTGAATGGGAAGATATGGAGTCTCATCATCTATGGGGGGAGCAATACAAATGTAGAATCTACACAGATGGTAAAAAAACTGGGACTCATGACTCAGAGACATGCCCGACCATATTCTCTTACGTGGCTGAAGAAGAAGAACAAGTTAGCATTGACCAGAGGTGCTTCGTGAAGTTTTCGATTAGTAGCCAGCTATAAGATCTGGTGTGGTGCGACATAATCCTCATAGATGTCTGCCATCTTTTGTTGGGGAGACCGTGACAGTTTGATCAGAGGACTCGACACGATGAATTTAAAAACACATATTCCTTCACCAAGGATGGGATGCGTATCATCCTACTTTGGCGAAGCCCGGAGCCCAAAATCACAGGTGCCCTTATCAACAAAGAAACATCAGTGAGATCAGGTTTGATGACGACGGGGGATGATGGGACTCAAACACAAACACCAAACATTGGACAAGCATGATAAAGAACACTTCAGGACATCATGGTCGACATCTTACCATCATGACCACCATCGTGCTGAGAGAGTCAGGCTTCCCTCACTTCAAATCGGGTTGAGTCAATCGTTGATTACTTCGGGAGTATTCAACAACATGGGCGAGACATGCTGACTCAGTTCAGTTTAGTGGTGCCATGAGAGTGAATCAATTTGGAGGTATGCTCGCAAGTGGAGAAAACTTTCCCGATGCTTTGGGAGACAGTGCAGTCAGCAGTGGGATCTTGATGCTGCTAGGATTGAAGACGAAGAACCACAAGCTTCAACAAATATGGAGATTGAAGCTAGGCTATCCTGATTCCCTGCCTCCCATTCCTTCTTAAAGTTGGGATTTGATCTCTTACGCCCTGCTTTCCTTTCCTGGCCTGATTACTGCCTACTGTTTGCGGTCAATTGCTTTTCTTTTTTTATTTTCTATTTTCCACTTGCATGGAGTATATTTATATATTTGTTTGCTCGGTTTAGGGTAGATTTTTGTGCATCTTTCTTTCAGATTTTTGTTAGGTAGCCATTGAAGCTCATTTCCCCTTCGAGGACTGCATCCGAGGGATTGAGTGTGCTTCGACTGTATCTCTCTCTCGAGGTAGTGATTATTTTCTTGCTATTCCCTTCTGCATTCTCACAAATCGCTCGCTGCAACCCCCGCAAAAAACCCAGTTTGCTGCTTTCTGCAGTGCTTTGCCTACCCACCACCTTCCTCTCTCTTCTAGCATTGTTGCCGCCTAAACCACACCTCCTCTCTGGTGTCCCAGCCTTCCCATTGCAACACGCTACCACCCAGGACATCTAGGTAACATCTCTGTCCTGTTGTCCCATCACTGTTCACCCCCACTCCTCATTGCCATCACTCAGGACAACCTCCATTTTTGTTGTCCCTGCATTTCTGCACTTTCCCTCCCCCCCTCACTGCAGTGAGCATTCCTTTGCTATTTCTACTCCCACTAATCATCCTGATCACCTAGTTGGCATCCACAACCTTAAGATACACTTAAGGGGTGTTTGCTTGTATCGTTTTATGTTTGTTATCATTTATTTCCCGTTTGAAGAGTCATCGTTGTAACCCTATTTGAATTCAACAATAATATTTTTATTTCTAGTGTTGTTTGGGTTAGCTCCGGTATCATAAAGGGGAATGGAAGACGAAAAGGAAAATTTAGATCTTACAATTTGGCTCATTTGGCTCGATTTGAGCTCAATCCATATGAGAAATTTATCCAATCTTTGAACAACTTTTTATCTACAAGCTAAAATTTAACTCCTATATGGTGTTGTTCATGCAGCCTGTACATCTCTCTTTTAGCATTTTCAAAATTTCCATTTTCAGACCTCTGGTCTCAAAACGGAGTATTCAGAAGAGGAATCTTTGTTGTCTTTTGATTACCTGGTTAGAAAAAGCTTCTAGTAGTTTTCTCCAACGACGCTGTTCTAGCTGCATAATCATGATCTCAGTCTCCAATTTTTAAAGTTTTATCATGCTCTTATAGTCAATGGTTTTTTTTTTTTTTTTTGCTTTATTGCTCCAAATACTACTGCCTTGGTCACCTAAATTATACATACATGCCTCTTAATTCTTATGTATTTACATGTCTAACACCTAAACTTCTATTTATACATGTATGCCACCTTGCCTATGCATTAGCAAGTGTATTTTACTTTTTAGAAATTAAAAATAGTGGTATTTTTAATGTGATATTAAAGATTTTGCTAGTATAAATGTAAAAAATAAAGTTTGAGTGGTATGTGTATAAATGTAAAAAGTAAAGTATATGTAAAGGCCCCTACTTATAAATAATCTTTTTGTGTTAAGTAGAGAAAAAAATTTATTTGTGATATGGACCCACATTAAATCATGCGGTTCTGAGAATTTGAAGAGTTAATATGCCATTCTTTCCTATTATTGATGATATTCTTGAGATTAATATACATCTACCTGTTTTGCAGTCAACTTGACAATAACAACTTTAATGGCAGCACAATTCCAGCTTCTTATGGCAACATGACTGCAATTATAAAATTGTAAGTTAATCTTTCTCTCATCTGAATGTCTGCTAATGTAATTCAAATTAGAATCATTGGCTTGGAATATATATATATATATATATATATATAAGGAATATATATAAAAAATGGACGACGCGCGTGCTCTGCTAGGGTTTGGGACTCAAGGCGATCGCGCGGGGAAACGAGGATGTTGACGGCGTTCTACTCTTCTCGACGGTCTTTCTCCGGAGAGATCTTTCCTGTTTTTTGCGTTTTCGGCTTCCTTTCGCTCTCGGCTTTTCTTTCTTTCGATGGTTATGGCTAAGACATATGTTGGGGTCACTGCGGGGGTTTCTTCCTCTGGGTCACCTCCGAAGTTTGTTTTTCCATCTTCTTTCCATGAGTCACTAGTTCTAGGTGTTGATTACAACTTTATCAAACCTCGGGGTCGTAAAGGGGGGAAGTTTGCGTTGTTTCTCTCTGATTCTGAGAACTCCATTCTTGCCTCTGTTTGTGGTTTTCATCTGGTTGGTAAATTTCTTTATGGGCTTCCGAAATATTATTTTTTTATGAAAAACTTTGAGCTTTTGAAGTTATCGGGGGGTTGGAAGATCGGTGCACTGGATAGTAGTCATATTCTTATCTAAACTATCTGTTTGCACGTAGAACTGTACATTTTGGTGATGTGTGGATGAAGGTCCTTAAATGAACTACGGAGTTCAATCCTAAAATCGAGCTCCCTGTTATCCCCGTCTGATTAAAATTTCCGTGTTAAAAAATTTGCCCGTTCAATCATGAAATTCTGTTTTTTATAGCTACTATGTATGGAAAGTCATTAATGTTGGATGCCCCTACCTTTAATCTAACTAGGCCATCAATGGCTAGAATACTAATTGAAAGGGATATTACTCTGCCTCCTCCGGAGGAAGTTTGGATTGGCTATAGTCACACTGTTATTGGCAACAGGTTTTGCTTGAAAAGCAACCTCATTACTGCTTGCATTGTTGCATGTTTGGTCATGATTTCGATCACTGTTTTCATTTGCATCCTGAATTAAGAAACCCCCCAGCTGGTCGTATGGCCTCTGCGGGGTTGAAATCTACTCCTAGAATTAATATATATGAATCTGTTGCTCATTCAGCTGAAGCCTGCGTGGGTCCTGCAGAACTAGTTGCTCCAGGTTTTGCGGCAATTAGCGATGCTCCCCTGCGGTCACTGCAACAGAGGGTGCAAGTTTGACTCCTGAAAGAAATGTTGTAAATGTGGAACCTACCTATTTATCTGTTCCAAAATCTGAGCCACAGCCTCCTCAAATACCTTTTGATTCAATTGAACAAATTGGGGTCTGTTCCCCCCACCTAAAATCTCTCATCCTTCCACTTCTATGCCTATTTCTCCAACACAGGACCCTTCCTCCTTGGCTTCCTTGGCTCTATAATCTGAATGACAAATTAAAAAATATAGCAGGAAAATAGGAAGAAGAAAATCTGAACTTCCAAATATGGCACAATCAAATAATTTGGATGTCACATATCATTCGGAGGGCGAGCACTTGCACCTTTCCCCTAGGCTGACTAGGAGGGAAGGTGTCATGGGTCAACATGTCTAATATTTTGGTGTGGAACATTAGAGGAGCGGCGAACCCTCACTCCGTTAATCGTTTAAAGCATTTATGTAGGGTCCATAAACCTGACATTTTTGTTCTTTTGGGGCCTCTTGTTTCAATTCATAAAGAGGAAATCATTAGGAAGTTCACGGGGTACATGCATTTCAGAAATGTGAAAAATAAAATTTGGCTTTTTTGGCAGAAAGACATCGTTCTGAACATCATTGATGATAATGTGCAATATGTTCTTATTCAGTATCAGTTGGAGAATTATTTCGGTTGGGCTACTTTCATTTATGCTAGTTCACTTTTAAGGGATAAGTTTTTTCTTTGGCAGCAACTCACTCATATGTGTGCTACTATTACTGAAAATTGGTTTGTTGGTGGGATCTAAATATGATTATGTCGCCTTCTGAGGGATGGGGCGAGGCTAAAGTTGATACGAGACTTATTAATCGTTTTTTGTGAAGATATTGAGGATGCTGGCCTTTATAATTTAGACTTTTCGGGTCCTTCTTTCACTTGGCGGCGGGGTTTTCTTATGCAAAGATTGGACAGATTTTTGGGATATTCAGCTTTTATGAGTTACTATAACATTATACATGTCAAACATCTTAATCATGTTGCATCGAACCATAATCCTATTTTGCTTAGCTTGACTTTTCACTCCAAACATGCTCGTTATCAGTTTAAATTTCTTAATGTTTGGACCACTCATTTTACTTTTATTGATTTGATTAAACAGGTTTGGGTCTCTAAATGGAGTGACAATCCTTGGTTCATTTTATGGCAATTACACAAGAATGTTGTTTATCATTTAAAAAGATGAAACATTGATGTTTTTGGAAATGTTCATTCTAGGGTGTTGAAGGCCCAACAAGAGGTTGACACTTTAGAAGCTCATATGGTCGACACTCCTGACCTTGTGGCTAAGTTAGCGGATGTTCATCATACTCTTTTGGAGGAAATCTCGATTGAAGAGGATTTCCTAAGACAAAAAGCTTGTGACAATCATTTCAAAAATGGTGACAGAAACACCTCATATTTTCATGCTACTATTAAACATCGTCGCAACATAAACACCATTATTAAGAGTGTTATTGAGGAGGGCTCTGTTCTCACTGATACTGAACAAATTGGTTCTAATGCTGCTGATTATTTCTCTTCTTTATACGCTGATACTCTGTCTGTCACAGATATTCTTTCGAACCTATTTGAGGATCAAAGGGACATAGTTTCCTCCCTCTCTCTGTCTGATTCTCCTACTTAGGTGGAGATTTTTACTGCCCTCAAAGACATTAGCTCTCAAAAAACTTCTAGCCCTGATGGTTTCACTTCCACATTCTATATCTCATGTTGGGACATTATTAAGAAAGAGGCGGTCCTTGTTATTCAAAGTTTTTTTCAGGGAGAAAACCCTGGAAGAT